TTATGAAAGATCTATTACTAGTACTAGATTCAGAATTGCAGATTATTGTTTTCTATTGTTCAAAATGCTCGTACAATGCAAAGCAATATTTGGTTACAAGGTTTCGGGGAAGTGGTTCCATTCAAAAAACAATGATTTTTAATTGTTTCACAAACTTATGATCAAATAAAAGAAGGTTTATGTTTCTAATAATAAAATTTTATAGGTCGCCATCAAAATTTTATAACGTGGTAAAACATAATAAAAAGATTGAAATTTTCCTTTTTTCCTTTTTTTCATTTTTTTATTATTTTTTTTTTTTTTTAAGAACACATCAGTTACGAATTCCTTTGTTCGTTAATAAAGAGGAAAATAAGCAAGGCGATGTCTGCAAACGAAGAAATTGTAAAGCCTTCCAGATTATCCGGTGAGGGGATGATTACTCCCAAGAATCATAATTCGTCTACCGTAATACAAATTGAAAAAGAAGTTCAAGAGCTCACCAAAGAACTTGATCCAATTCATGAAAAAATTATAAATGATCAAATTCATATTGAAGATGATAAGTCATCTTATTGGCAATTATATTCTTTCGCTACAAAACGTGATTGGATATTAATGGGAATCGGTTTGATTTTTGCCTTCGCTGCTGGTGCTGCTATCGTAAGCAAGAGTTAACAAAAGTTCTCTCTCTTTTTTTCTTTTGTTGTTCGAAATTAAATAATTATCTTTTTAATCTTTATTTATTAGCCTGCGATAGCACCTGTGTTCGAAAAAATGGTCGATTATCTTACTAAATATCAAAATAAGCAAATTACTGAAGAAGAATTCTTGGACAACATTAATTATTTTGTATTATTCTTCGTCTATCTTGCTATACTTGCCCTTGTCTCCAATTATTTCTTAATGGCTTGCTGGGCCGCAACCGGAGAGAGGTGAATTAAACGATTATTTGGTTCGAACTTTATTCTTTGCTTTCTTTGTGCTACGTCAATTTAAAAAAATTTTTTTTTTGCCTTGTTAAAAAAGAATTACTCGAAAAATCCGAGAAAATTATTTACATGCGGTTTTAAGACAAAATATTGCTTATTTTGATAAACTTGGCGCTGGTGAGGTTACGACAAGAATCACAAATGATACTCATTTGATACAAAACGGCATTAGTGAGAAAGTGTCCATGTCATTTTCTGTAAGTTTGAAAATTTGATAAATTTTCTGTTTTACAAGATAAACCACCGATAATTCACCTTTTTTTTTTTTTTTTTTTTTGGAACAAATAAGCATTTGGCACAATTCGTAATAGCCTTTGCGATAGCATTTTCAAAAAGTTGGAAAATGACCCTAGTGATTTGTGGGTTGTTCCCTTTAATTACAATAAATGGTAGTATATTTAATAAGTTTATTGCCAAGTATAAAGTAAAAATTCTAGATTATTGTTCCCAAGCCGCTGTTATAGCAGAGGAAACGTTTTCCACAATTAGAACTTCAATTGCATTTTCACAACAAAAAAATCTCTCAAAAAATTACGATGCCAAATTGGAAAGGGCTAAAAGTATTGGGGTCAAAACGAGTGCTTTGAATGGTTTGTGCCTAGGCACGATAAATTTTTTTGTTTATTTAACCTATGCCTTGGCGTTTTGGTACGGTTCAACTTTAATTATTAGCGGGGAGCTAACTCCTGGAACTGTAAGTACTTTATTTATACATACATATATAATACATATAACTAGATATTTCATTAATTACGTAAAAAAAATTTTATCTAGGTAGTTAATGTGTTCTTCTCGGTTCTGATTGGCAGCTATGCTCTCGGAAATGTCATGCCGGATATTGTCGCTTTCAATACTGCACAAGTTGCCGGGAAAAAAATTTTCGAAACGATAAACAGGATTCCTCCAATCGATATTGAATCGAAGGAAGGCAATGAGTTGGATCAAATTGAAGGCCGGATACAATTAAAAAACATTTCGTTTATTTACCCCTCCAGACCTGAGATAAAAACGTTAAAAAATGTATCATTGGATATTGAACCTGGCACTACCGTCGCTCTAGTTGGTTCTTCCGGATCCGGAAAAAGTAATGTTGAACTCATTTAAACTCGTTAACAAGTCCGTTTATTTCTTACACTTTTTTTTCTTTTTTTTTTTTTTTAGGTACAATTGTATCTCTCATTCTTCGTTTTTATGATCCCATTGAGGGAGAGATTTTAGTCGATGGGCATGATATCAAAGGATTTAATTTAAAATGGCTTCGAAGACAAATGAGTCTTGTAAGTCAAGAACCTGTACTCTTCAACACATCGATTGCGGAAAATGTATCCCATGGGTTAATAGGATCAGCATATGAAAACGTTGATCCAGATAAGAAACACGAAATGATTGTACAAGCGTGTAAAATGGCAAACGCTCATGATTTCATTATGAAATTACCAGATAAATATGAAACGAATGTGGGTGAAAGAGGATTTTTATTATCAGGAGGGCAAAAACAACGCATTGCGATCGCAAGAGCAATTGTTAAAGATCCAAAGATATTATTATTGGATGAAGCTACGAGTGCACTTGATACGAAAAGTGAAGGAATCGTGCAAGACGCTTTAGATAAAGCTTCAAAAAATCGTACGACAGTCGTAATAGCTCATAGATTATCAACAATTCGCAATGCTACAAAAATTGTTGTAATGAGCAATGGTGAAATTATTGAAACCGGTACTCATGATGAATTAATTCAAGAACAAGAGGGACCTTATTCAAAATTAGTCGCCGCACAAAAAATTCAGCAACAAAATGAAGAAAGGTCTAACAAAGATATTTCCGAAGAAGGAATTGCTCTTTCAAAAGTTATATCGAATAAATCTATTATGTCTACTAAATCTTCTTGTATCGTAAATGAGTTAAATGACATTGAAAAGAGGGCTAATTTAGATTATCAATATACCACTTGGGAATTAATTAAAAAAGTTGCTAAAATCAATCGTCCTGAATGGTATTTGATGATTATGGGGTTCTTTGCTTCGATTGTTTCTGGCATGACTTATCCATTATTCGCTTTTATCTATGGAAAAGTTATAAACTCTTTTTCAAAACCTGTGGTTGAATTACGGGAAGATGCAACGTTTTGGTCGCTTATGTTTCGTAAGTTTACAATATACGTATATATATCTCTCTTGATTTTTTTTTTTTTTTTTAAAAAAAAAAAGAAAGTGCGTCTAAATTAAATTAATTAATTACTTTGTAGTTGTCGTTGCGGCCCTTGCTATGTTTGGTACCTTTGTTCAAGGTTTATTTTTTGGCATATCCGGAGAAAAACTTGCCCTTCGAATTCGCTCAATGTCATTCGCAGCGTTGCTACGAAAAGATATTAGTTTCTTTGATGAAGAAAAAAATAATGCCGGTTCTTTGACGAGTGCATTATCAACAAGTGCAACAGAAATTTCCGGATTCGCCGGTGCCACACTTGGAATTATTCTTCAAATAATTTCCACTCTCATATCGGGAACTATAGTTGCATTGATAATTGGATGGAAACTGGCGCTTATATCGATGACTATGATACCGTTTCTAATGTTGGGCGGTTTTTATCGAATTAAAATGATGTCGGGATTCCAAGCAAAAACCCTAAAGGCTCACGAGCGATCCGCACAAGTTGCGTGTGAAGGAACGGCCAATATCCGTACGGTTGCATCACTCACGCGAGAAAATGATATATTGAAATTATATAGTCAAATGCTGGATGAGCCTCTGAAGGAAGGATATAAAAATGCGATTTTTGGAAGTGTGACTTTTGCTCTCACATCCTGTACTAATTATCTCGTCGAAGCTATGATATTTTGGTATGGAGCTCATTTGGTATGTAAATTTTCTTGCAAGAGGAATTTTATTTATTTAATTTTTTTTTTTTTCAAAGCAAATTTAATTCCATTCACAACGTTATTTAAAATAATAATAATATATATTATAGTTTGTATATGGGGAATACAATCTTTTCAAATTCTTTACGGTCTTCATGGCGGGTAAGTGTATATTTATTACGTCAAATCATGAAGTAAAAACGCTTATCGATCAACTTTTGATCAATTTTAATTGCAGTTATCTTTGGAGCCATATCATCCGGACGTATTTTTGCATATGCAACTAACATAACACGAGCAAAAATTTCGGCAGAATCTTTAATATCATTAATTGAAAGTTTACCAAGTATAGATACATGGTCTCATAATGGCAAGAAAATTGATGTTGCTAAAGGACACATTAAATTTTCAAAAGTTCATTTTAATTATCCTACACGTCCTGATGTACCCGTTCTTCGCGGTCTTAACTTAGAAATCAAACCAGGACAATTCGCAGCATTAGTTGGACCATCGGGATGTGGTAAAAGTACAATGATTGGACTAACCGAAAGATTTTATGATGTATCAAGTGGATCAGTTGAATTAGACGGAAATGATTTAAAAACTTTAAATATTAATAACTTGAGAGAGCATATTTCACTTGTTAGTCAAGAACCTTCTTTATATAATATGACTATAAAGGAAAATATTATCTTTGGGTGTAAACCGAATCAAAAACCCACACAAGAAGATATTGAAAGGGTTTGTAATGAAGCTAATATTCACGAGTTTATCATTAGTTTACCAAATGGATATGATACTCATGTTGGCAATAAAGGAAGTCAATTATCCGGAGGTCAAAAACAAAGGATTGCGATCGCAAGAGCACTAATAAGAAATCCAAAAATTTTATTGTTAGATGAGGCGACATCAGCTTTAGATACTGAATCAGAAAAGATTGTACAAAAAGCTTTAGATAAAGCGTCAGAAGGTCGAACCACATTAGCAATAGCACATAGATTATCAACAATTCAACATGCCGATATTATATTCGTTATTAAAGATGGTAAAGTAGCTGAAGAAGGCACTCATCAAGAATTGTTGGCCAAAAAAGGGATTTATCATATGATGGTACAAGAACAAAAGTAAATAAATAATAATTTAGTAAATGAAAAAAAATTCAACCTAAAATTGTTTTTACAAGGTTTTTTCTTTTATTGGTTGTTTATTTTTTCATATCAAAAGTATTTTTGTATTAAAAATTTTAGTTTTTCTTAATTTTAAAATTTTTTTTTTTTTAATAAAATTCAGAAAGTCATTTTCTTAAATATGTTAAATTTTTTGAATCAAAGTGAAAGTTTTAAGAGGGTGAAAAAGCGTCTAATTTTTGCGATTTACAATCAACTCTCTATAAATGGGACTAGGTATTTAAAGAGGGTGTGCATTTAAGTATATATATAAATCTATATAAATTAAGTAATACAAAAAATTTATAAGTAATCTATACAAAATTTTTTTATAAAGAGTGCATTTACAGAGAGTATATATATATAAAATGTGCATTTGGCACTAAGGCCCAAGTTAGGATCAGATAAAAAGATGCATTTATAAAGGGTGTGCATTTATAGAGGGTGCATTTATAGAGAGTTGACTGTATAGAAAAACCTGAAAGAAAAAAAAAACCTCGTCGGATTCTTATCCATTTATAACAAAATTCAAAAAATATATATATACAGTATATACTCTTACTTGCGACAAGTCAAAAAAAGTTCAACGAAAACGCTAAAAAAATAAAATTTAAACGAAATGATAAACTTTTACGTGATTGTACCATACCTACAGATACTTCTAAACTTGATTACTCCATATGTAAATACTTGTAAAAAAAAAAAATTATTTGAAATGAAAGATGATGCGTTTATCACGATAGGTAATATGTAGTGCTAGATCGAAGAACAATTTTATTTATTTACACATTCATTCCTTGATTGGCTTCTAAACAAATAATTAACCCATCTTTGTGTTCCGATAGATTTATCTTTTATGATGGGCCCAATGTTTGGAAATTCGAGAGTGTACACCTCATTCTCGAAAATATTAATGGTAACTGCAGAGATGCCAAAAAAATATAATCATTGCCCTGAATTCTTTTAGCAGTTGTACTATACTGAATAGTATATATATATTAACACACATATGCTTTGTAAGTTCAAAAAAAAAAAAATTATTAAGCGGTCACTCATATTTCGAAAGTTTCGCACCAAGATTGTCCATTATCCAGCTCCGTTAAAAATTTTCTAATCTAAAAGCTAAGCTTTACTGTGGCGTAATCTTTAAGCGATACCTTACTGCAAATTAATGTTCGTATATTCGCTAGTGTATTTGATCCAGTTCACAGTCCGTTCCTTATTGAACTTTTCAATATGTTCCTTTTTTTCTCAAAATATTGCACAATAAAGCGAATGAAAAAAATTCATTTCCGCTGTTTAGGGGGCTATTACGTTTATTGTTAAGGAAATTACTTCCGAAATGCATTATTATTTTACATTCATGTTGAGTAAAATATATATGTATATCTTTACATAACTTTCATAACGATTGCGCCAAATCACATGATCAATTCGAAAGACAAAAGGCCAGGAGATTTTATTAAAAAAAAAATTTAATAGGGAATGCGTTCCCCATTTTTCTCAATTATAAATCTCTCCTTAATTGAACCAGCTAGACTTTTAATAATATCCTGTGGAATTTTTGATTTCTCCTTCATAAAATTTTCCAAATCCCCAGTATTTTGTGGCTGCCGCATCTTTTAACAATTGCCCATAAATTTTCTATGGGGTTCAAATCGGGACTGTTAGATGGCCAGTCCATGACAGTTGAAACTATTTTTTGCAGCAAATCTTTAGCTAAGTGGCTAGGATCGTTATCTTGCTGGAGGTGCCAATTGTTACGTAGCATCCTCTTGAACTCATATGGTTTTGGGTATATGTTTCTGCTTTGCAACCTTGTAAGCAATGGGTCACTTCTTATCATAGCCAAGGTTGGTTAAATGTCACAAAACTGTACTGTAGGACACATTTACACCCTTTAGCGACAATTTGGATGCTAATTTTCTAGAAGAAACTGCTGGATTTCTTCTAATATACTGTCCAAGAGCTTTGAGAAATCTGAAGTGATTTTTGGGGCGACCACTTCATGTTTTTTTCAATTTACCAAGTTGAAATTGTGGACCTTTTGTTCGTCGTCTTATTTCAGCTGCATTAGTAATCCCAGAATTCCATAAAATTTTGAATGGATTGAGCCTGCGCGGTCTTGTCGTCAGTCTTCATTTCATTGCTAAATTAAAATTTTTTTTGTTTAAGATGCTGTGACTATTAATTTTATCACTAGGCCTGTTCAAATGCCCAACAAAAAACTGATGCATGTGATGCAAACTTGAAAATTGGATTTTGATTGGCTAATTTTGAGTGCACCAAAAAAAGCATCCATCAGAATTGAACCACCGATTTTTAAGATAAAATGATTAATTTGGAAATAAGCTCAATCATTCTCTGCTAGTCGGAATTTCCAATAATAAAAAAAATTGTTAAATTGTTGAATCCAAATAGATGATTTGTTCTATCTACCCCTAAACGAAGCTACGCGGTGTCCAGGAGAAACAGTTATATCTGACCAAGATTCAAGCATTTTATAATTCTGAACGGTTATTTAATGAATGATTCCTATTACAAACAAATACTACACGAAGTATTTAAATGAATATTAATAAATGGCAATCACGTTAATAGATTTTATTCTTTTATTCTTAAACAAGGTATTTCTCTCAACTTTTTTTTTTTAAAAAAAAAAACCTCATTCGTTTTCGATAAGTCGTAGTTACTTTCGTTTTTGATATGTCGGAGCTAAATAGGAAAGAGAAATTATCAAAAAATTATTGGATATTCGTCTTTTCATCAATTGCTAATGCAACCAATCTTAAATTTCGTCTTAAACTTTAATAAATGACTTATTATATACTAGAAGATTAAAAAAAAATGTGATCAAAAAAAAACGAAAAAAAGGATCAAAGAATATTTAGTACTCATCATTATTGAACTGACGATAAAAAAAAAAGTCATCCTACCGTAAATTTTAATTTTTTTCGGACCTGTAGAATATAATTATAATAAAGAAAATGAATAAGTTAGAGAGAGTATTGGAAAGTGAAGGACCGAAAATAAAATAAAACCCACTAATGTAAACAATAGTGTGTTCAAAGGTTATGTTTGTTTCCTCAAAAAAAGGCGTGTGAAAAGAGAGAGACCAACTACTCGATGGAAACTTTCACGTGTAAGGCAAACACTTCTAAGAGGATGGATAGGCAAATCCTAGGGAGCGTCTGTATCCAAGTACTAAACCGTCGCTCTTAGCTAAATACAAAGGATATCACCAGAAAATGCTTCTCCTTTTGAAGCCAAAATCTTTTACTAACCAGATCATTAATAAAAAGCAGTTTAAGGGATGTGGGACACGATCGGACAGTCAGAAACTAAAGGAAAGTGGACATTATTTAACCCATACGATGGCGGTCCCGCACCTGGAGCGAACATTAAAAGAATTCACTATCTGTCGCTAAAACGCCTGCCTATTAGAATGATATAAAAAAAGGAAAATGTTTGATTCAAAATCTAAATACTTATCGAACTAGTAAGGAATTCGTGCTTAGGGCGGTTGGGAGTCAGATCTTAAGAGTCAATGTATTAAAGGAACGAACTCGTAAAGATAATTTCTTATCAATACGCTATAGCACTGGGATAATACTTGTCTATAGAAATGAACATCCCGGGTATCGAACCTCTAGGTCAAGCAATATTTCGCGAATATTGTTGAGCTCGTAACCAGAATGGAAAACCACTACTTATACAACAAATACCTTGGTAAAGCGCGAAAAATATGGAAATAGTTCGTACAAATATACATTTCAATAGCGAGAAGAGTTCAAACTGCACGGTTCCACCGGTATTTCTATTAGAATGATAAAAAAAAGCAAATGTTAAATTAGTAATCTAAGTATTATTGAAAAGTAAGGAATTCGTGCTTAGGGCGGTTGGGAGTCAGATCTTAAGAGTCAATGTATTAAAGGAACGACCTCGTAAAGATATTACTATCAATACGCTATAGCACTGGGATAATACTTGTCTATAGAAATGAACATCCCGGGTATATCGAACCGGTAGGTCAAACAATATTTCGCGAATATTGTTGAGCTCGTAACCAGAATGGAAAGCCACTACTAATACAACAAATACCTTGTCTAAAAAACACGAAAATGTGGAAAAACCGCGTTCGAAAAGTTTCGGCAAAAGATAGAAAAGTTGTTTGGAGTTTGATAATTTAGGTATGAGGAGTATGTGGATTTGCTGTTTCTTTTATAATAAAAAAAAAAATGATGTAAGATCAGTGTAATAATTAATATATTTTTGGTCCATCACATATTTATTATTACTTAAAAAGCCAAGTATTAGTGAGTCATCAATGAAGAGATTCATGAAAATTATGTTGTAGCGAAACAGTCTATATAAATTTTGATCGCTAAAGAAAAAAATAAGAGTAAGATAAATGATATTCATCAAGGTTAGTCACATGTCTATTTATATACAACACGAAATTATGTGTTTTCATTTGTTCCTCTCAATAACGAGTTTTATTGTCATTATATCATTTTATAAATTGGTCGGGTATCCTTGAAGAAGCTTTCCTACAGTATATGGACGTTTCACGCAAAAGAATATACTGAAAGAGACAACATTTCACCAAAGAAATTGAGGAACTAGTAATTGATTATAACATACCAAAATAACGCTAATATTCAAGAGTGCGAAAGTCCAAAGAATCCGAATACAATAATCATTCAAAGGAAGCTTCGAGACACTAAGTTATACTCCATGTGACTATAGATAAAAGCACGCGTCCTTGGACGATAGTGACGTTTTACACAGGAAGTTATGACCGATACTGGAGAAAAGATGACATTGTGTGATTACAGAGCATCGATATTCTTTTGCAGATGAGTGATGATGGTAAACTTGTTGCACTTAATTCATCAAGTTTATCAAAATCGAACGAAAAACATGTATAATTCTTTAACTTTTCTTTCTATAGAATAATAG